TAGCATTAATTGAAACAGTACGTGCATTGGTGTCATGGTTGCTACAGCATACTGACTATAGTACTTCTCAGAAACTTTTATAAGCTTGACTGGTGTGGTCAGTGTTCTGTGATCTCCAGCCTAGCAAATTAATTCAAGCAGTAAGGATCCGCTTGCCATTAAGCATCCATAAGCTGTCTTGAGCAACGAGGAAAAATTTCTCAGTCTTTGTACTAAATAGCTATAGAAGAAGAAGAAGAGAAGAGATTGGATTCACTACCCAAGGGAGCCTCAGAGTGGCTTACAAACTCCTTTCCCTTCCCCTCCCCACAACAGACACCCTGTGAGGTAGGTGGGGCTGAGAGAACTCTGACAGAAACTGCTCTTTTTCAAGGACGACTCTGACAGAACTATGGCTTGCCCAAGGTCACCCAGCAGGTACAAGTGGAGGAGTGGGGAATCAAACCCGGTTAGAGTCCAAAGCACTCAACCACTACAACCAAACTAGCTCTATAGCTTCATCCCAACAAGATGCAGGTGCTACTGGGGGCCAGAATCACTGATCAAGGACTTGAGGTATCTCCTGTTCGGGATGGCGTTGCACTCCCATTAAAAGTGCGGGCTCACAGTCTGGGAGTGCTGCTGGCCCTGGCCTTGCTGTTGGATATAAACAGGTGGCAGTGGTGGCCAGGGGTGCCTCTCACCAGCTCAGGCCCTTCCTGGGTGAGAAAGATCTAGTTACCATAGTGCGCGCCCTGGTAATGTATAGGTTAGAGTACTGCAATGTGCTGTACTTGGAGCTACTCTTGAAGACTGTCCAGAAGCGACTTTTGGTACAGAATGCTGCAGCCAGAATGATTGGAGTGGGTCGCAGGGACCATATCACGCCACTCTTGTTCTACCTACACTGGCTCACAGTTTGCTTCTGGGCCCAATTCAAGGTGCTGGTATTGACCTTTTAAAGCCTTATACAGCTTGGGGCCAGTGTACCTGAAGGACTGCTACATGGGTGGCCGCCTGAGAAATGGCCTTCTTGATTGTGGCACCAAAATTACTGAACTCCCACCCCAGTGTCTATCCCCCTCAATCTCTGTCTTCCGCTAGCAAGGGAAGACTTATTTGTTTCATCTAGTGTACCCTTACTGACCTTCCTCATTCGCTGTTTTTAACTGTTAACTTTTAAAAACTATACATACTTATAAAATCTGATTTTCAGTCTCTTAACTGTTCACCGCCTTGAGGGCCCTAATTGGACAGAAAGGTACGACGTAAATTTTTAAAGTAAATATAGGTCCCGGTCACACGTGCTGGAAAACGTGGGGGGGAGGAGGCGCGGTGATTTGCGCCGTCGCAATTTGACGCGCCCCAACGTGATCAGACGCGACGGCGTTATTTCCATCGGCAGGTGTTTCCGGCGCGCTCCAACCAGGAAGCGGGGACGCGAGAGGAGCGCGCTGGAGCGATCACACGGAGAGCGTCTGGCTGCAGCCCGTTGCAACCAGTTGATAGTGGATTTTCCCGGGTACTTTTGAACTCCGCTTCTTTGGCTGACTGCTACGGGTTGCTGACGGGTGCGGGACGCTGGCCAGGATCGCCCCAGTAAAATCCGTCCGGCATTTGTGAGTATTCCGTGACAAATTCTGCGTGTGATCGGGGCCATAATGAATTAATTAACCGAACTAAAAATCTCTCTGTCTTGGTCTGAAAACCACCTACTCAAACTAGGGTTTTCGACTCCAATTTAAACAGCAAACACAAACCATAAGTTTGTTTGATATTGTAACTCTGCCATCCAAGAGGATCTGGGAGGAAAGAGTTAAGAGAATTCCCTCACTCGGGTATACTTGGCAGTTGGACCGACCCTCTTGTCGGTTAGATGTTGAGCCTCTTTGGCCGTTGCTTGCCTTCTACTTCATCTCATATAGGACCTCTTCTCTCTCTTACCTGGCCTTGGAGGTGTAGCAAGTTAACCTTTCTGGAAGTTAATTGGTTCATAATAAGTTCAATGTGCCTTCATGAAGATGTCATTGTGGCGTTCTGGCTTTCAGGGGAAACAGTTTTACCTTTAAAACTACACTGACCTTCACTACACTGTGTACCTAAACTTGGTAGATTTCTGCTGCCACCAGGAATAAAAAATTCCAAATCTCTCTCTCTTCTGGTAGTATGACCCAGGGGTCTGGACACTTCAGAGGACTATGTGGCCTTGAGGAAGAACTGTACTGATTGCTGGGATAAGCTTAAATAAAAATTGATTTATTTAATAAAGAACAAAATAGGTTTCTGGCTATTTTGAACTGTTACTGAAAAAAGGAACTTGTAAATATAACTGGCAAAACTTGGTGTTATAAACAGTCACACAGACTTCACTCTGACAGGCGTATCTCTCTCACACACACACACACATATATATATATAGCCCCACTAGGGCTGCCAAGCCGCGGCGGGGGATCCGCACGTCTTCACAGGATTCCTGCCGCGGGGGACAGCGATACGCGTTGCACCGCCGTCGCCAGGATGTGACGCTACGCGTTGCTCTGGCAACGGGACTCCAAACAGCTCCATTGCCAGAGCGACGTGTAGCGTCACATCCTGGCGACGGCGGTGCAACGCGTATCGCTGTCCCCCGCGGCAGGGATCCTGTGAAGACGTGCGGATCCCCCGCCGCGGCTTGGCAGCCCTAAGCCCCACAGGCTAAGCTCTTTGTCTTGGGCACACAAGATGAACATTTGTCTAACCACACAGTTTGGACTGCCCTGATGACGGGACCACCGTACCACCGTGGTCCCAACACGACCGACGCTGGGAGG